GGATGGATGGATGAATGATGGATGGATGGATGGATGAATGAATGATGGATGATGGATGGATGAATGAATGATGGATGGATGATGGATGGATGGATGAATGATGGATGGATGGATGGATGCATAGCTGGATGGATGGATGGAGGGATGGATGGATGAATGATGGATGGATGGATGAATGATGGATGGATGGATTAATGATGGATGAATGGATGATGGATGGATGAATGATGGATGGATCGATGGGTGGATGATGGATGGATGGATGGATGGATGATGGATGGATGAAATGATGGATGGATGGATGGATGGATGCATGGATGAATGATGGATGGATGGATGATGGATGGATGGATGGATGGATGGATGGATGGGTGGATGATGGATGCATTGATGCATGGATGGGTGAATGAATGATGGGTGGATGGATGGATGAATGAATGACGGATGATGGATAGATGAAATGATGGATGAATGGATGGATGGATGCATGGATGAATGATGGATGGATGGATGGATGAATGATGGATGAATGGATGGATAAATGGATTGGAGGATGATGGATGGATTGATGCACGGTTGGAGGAATGAATGATGGGTGGATGATGGATGGATGATGGATGGATGGATGGAAGGGTGGATGATGGATGGATGGATGATGGATGCATGGGAGAATGATGGGTGGATGGATGGATGAATGGATGAATGGATGAATGATGGATGGATGATGGATGGATGGATGGATGAATGGATGGATGGGTGGATGATGGATGGATGAAATGATGGATGGATGGATGCATGGCTGGAGGGATGGATGGATGGATGGATGGATTGGTGGATGATGGATGGATGATGGATGGATGAATGATTGATGATGGATGAATGATGGATGATGGGTGGATGATGGATGAATGATGGATGGATGGATGGATGGGTGGATGATGGGTGAATGATGGATGGGTGGATGATGGATGAATGATGGATGGATGGATGGATGATGGATGAATGATGGATGGATGGATGGATGGATGGATGGATGGATGATGGGTGGGTGAATGCATAGATGGGTGGATGATGGATAGGTGGATGATGGGTGGATACATGGATGGGTGGATGATGGATGGGTGGATGATGGGTGGATGCCTGGATGGATAATACAGTTTTTAGTGGAACTGGAGAAACTTACAGGGATGCCTTCCATTGCAACACTATCCAGACTGTGGGTGTTGCTGATAACAGAAACTTAATGCTCAGAGAGCACAAGTGTCACTCATGCTGCTTCGCAGCGTAGAGCTTTAGAGGTAACTTTCCAGCTCTATAATTACTGCTAGCAGGCTAACAGGAAGTAAGGAGGATAACAGTGCTGAAAATAAACAGTGACAAGAGAAATGTACCTCTGCTCCTTCTGATAAATACAAGTGTCACAATATGTCCTCGCCACTTCTTTACTGGACCCTACTGCTATTTCTATGAAGCCAGCACAAAGCTTCCTCTTAACTCTTTCATTCTTCATCCCACTCAGTTGCTGACTGAAGTGACATGACATAACTCCTTAGTTATATAACTAAGCAAGCTTAACAGGCCACTGAGTCATACAACACCATACATTTTACAATGCAGCAGTAATACTACAGTAACTAAGGTAACATGGTTGTGTTTAAACTCAGTAGAAGATTGTGTTAAACTCATTTCTTGTGAAATGTGGAGTATTTGTCCATGAAACCTCACCCTCATGTACTTAAATATGTATTTGTTGGGACAAGTAAGTGGGAGACCACACACAGGCTCTTACAGGCCACAAGATGTTTTAATAAAATAAAGTAAAGAAACCCAAACACACATTAAATGGTATGAAAGACATAAAAGAACATAACTAAGGGGGCGTAATGAGCCACAGGCGGGGGGATGAAGGTTCAGTCAAAGTAGCTTTATAATGCACTGGGACTGGGCTGCATCTATAATTGGGTCAACTCCACCTACCAGATACCTGAAAGAGACAGGCAACAGAAAAACAGGAAAACAAGACCCGCCCACTGGCTGTCACATTGTATTGAGCTGGAATCACACAAATGTGTGAGTTTGATTTTTATTTTTTCAAATATACATATTTCAAATGTTTGTTCTTCCTCTTTTCTTTGACCTGTCCTTTTTGAATCTACACAAAACGCGTCAGATGGCTAAAGGCCAATTAGCTTCTGCACCACTCTCAAGAACTGCGTGTCAGTATGTTTAACTGTCTTGATGAGTGATGGTGATGAGATGAGTAACCAAGCAGCCCGGGAACATGCTGACATTTCCACAACAGAAAAAGTGTGCAATGCTAATGAGCCAACATCTTCCTTCTGCTCTGATCGTTGATGTGTACTTTTTCAATAAGCCAGTCATTGTTGCAGTTCCACACTGAAACTGCACTGAAGATTTCTGTTTTTCATTTGCTTCTGTACTCACTAAAATCAATATGAGGGAGAAATGAGCACACGTCACTGTCGCCTCCACGGTCCACACGGGTTTCAAAGGAGCTTTCAGAGCACACAGTTTGAAGATGGCCTTTAGCACGCCGTGCTGCAAAGTCAATCGATGGTGACAGAGGTGATATCGGCAGTGCAGTGATTAAATGACTTTTAGAAGAGCCCAAGAGTCGATGAAAAGTATCCACAGCGCGTCATGTTACAGCCAAAACGGATTCAATTTGTTTAATACACACATGAAAGGCACACAGCTGAAGTTACGAATCCTTTCTGGGTGCAGTGTATATACCAACTTCAGAAGCATTTACTTGATTCACTATAGAAGGGCAGTCGTGTTACTTGAGTCTTTCAAACAGCACATTTCCATTTAACATGGAAGTGGCCAGTATGTTTGAGTTTGAATGACAGTATTGATTCCAGAGCATCTGTGCAGCCTTTCTAAATCTGAACAAATAGTCTGCACTGATGTTAAGTGCGCCTGTATTGGTGGCATGTCTTCACATGTGTGTCTTGTGCACAGAGATGGCTGCAGAAAGCTTGAGGAGGTTTTTTCCCCCTATGTAATTGGAAGAGAGGAGGCAATTTTCCACATGGCCTGGGCTGGAAACATTTGTCTTGCATCCAAAACACACAATGATATACGCACACACACACACGCAGAAGTCTACTGTCCAAACGACACAGCACGAGCCCCTCTTAAATATTTAAGCCCGGCTGTATTAGGTTGCTGTGTGTGTCAGCCTAATGTATGCTGATATCCTAGCCATTATGCAAAGTGCATTATCTGTCATGTAGTTGGCCGGTGCCTTGTCTGTGGTCCAATGGATAACTCTCAAACCCTGCAGATGAATGTTTCACATAACACACATGGGCACAGAGCGCCTCTCCCTCTTTTGCTGGTCATCCCTCTCCCTCACTCGCTGCCAAACTTACTCACTCCCCCTCTCACAGACTCTCCTCCACCCTTTTTCTCTTTCACACACACATGCTCTTTCAAAGCTAATTCACTGACACTTCCAATGCCCTTCTCTCTCGCACACTCTTACTCACTCTCTCAATCACTCGTCTGCTGTCTCCCAAACTCACTTCCAACCTCTCCTGGTTTTTCGTCCCCTCCCATATATACTTGTACAGCAGCCACACGCATGTGAGGCTTTCTGTGGCTGCTGGAGCTCACACAAACACATGTTCTCAGCTGTGGCCTGGTTTATCAGCACAGAGAACAAAAAGCTGATATTAACTACACTATAAACACAGCATCTGCACCGAGCCCAAAAAGGAAATTGAAGCAGAAGCTAGTCAAATATCTGAAATGTTTTCTAGTTTTTAGATCGTTGCTGTTTGGAGATTGTGCTCCTCTCTCACATAGATTTACTCTGCAGTGTCAGCACTTTAAAGCCGTACGTTTAAGTCATGATTTGTCATACTTCCTCTTACAGTCCAAGGTTATTGCTAAGGCTGGCTAAAGTACCCTAGAATAAAAATAAACCATTCACCTTGACACAGGGAATACATCACGAGCTCGTTCCAAAGCAGTAAAAGAACATAAATAACTTCAGCTAAGAGTGTGTTTAATATAGCGTCAGCTGTATGCTTGCATCGTGGATCGTTAATGTCTTTGTGTTCCCGTGCTTGGTTGGGTGGCTCATTAGCTGGTCAGCTATTGATTAGAATAATGATCATGTTCATCAAACTAATGAGCCTCGCAGCTTGGTTACGGTTTTGGATCATTGAGGCCAATTATGAATTGGTTTGTCCATCCATCCATCCATCCATCCATCCATCCATCCATCCATCCATCCATCCATCGTCATCCGCTTTGTCCGGGGTCGGGTCGCGGGGGCAGCAGCCTAAGCAAAGAGGCCCAGACCTCCCTCTCCCCAGCCACCTCCTCCAGCTTATCCGGGGGAATACCAAGGCGTTCACAGGCCAGCCGAGAGATATAATCTCTCCAGCGTGTCCTGGGTCTGCCCCGGGGCCTCCTCCCGGTGGGACGTGCCTGGAACACCTCACCCAGGAGGCACCCAGGGGGCATCCTTGTCAGATGCCCGAACCACCTCAGCTGGCTCCTTTTGATGTGGAGCAGCAGCTGCTCTACTCTGAGCCCCTCCCGGATGGCCGAACTTCTCACCCTATCTCTAAGGGAGAGGCCAGCCACCCTTCGGAGGAAGCTCATTTCTGCCGCTTGTATCCGCGATCTCGTTCTTTCGGTCACTACCCACAGCTCGTGGCCATAGGTGAGGGTAGGGACGTAGATCGACCGGTAAATTGAGAGCTTCGCTTTTACACTCAGCTCCCGCTTCACCACGACGGACCGGTGCAACGTCCGCATTACTGCAGCTGCAGCCCCAATC